ATGGCTCTCTATTATCTCTCGGATTCTTTCCGGGGAATCTTTGCGATTCGTTCCTGTTGCCACACACAGCTTTTCGGCACTCCCCTATCCTTTCGTGCCCCGCGCAGACAGCCGCCCGACGCTCACATGTAGTTTCTTCGTGTTCCGTTGGTGTGTATACACGACGACACGCTGTTCTTTCCAACAGAACACTACCAAGCAGCGTAGTGCTTTCTCAATACATGCGTGTTCCAATACATGCATGCGTGGCTGCCTGTAAACTCTGTTGTGTGCATTTTTCTTCAGTTTGGGTCCATCCAATATCTCCAAGCAGAGGTTCTTCCGAGCAAACACAGGCAATATGTTCCGATCTTTTGACTGGATGGATGGCCCGGTCGTTCCGGCTTTCCGATCACACGACGTCTGTCGCTCTGCCCTTCCCTGCACTCACTATTTGCGGCTCTCTGTCTGTCTGGATCTACGCTGAGAGGGCTCCATTTCGGGTCTTCTCGGGCTCTCACAGGGCTCCATGTTCTCATTTCCATCTATTCCAGATCTATCTATCTTTGGAGCTCGCTCTGTTATTTTCCGCTCACCGTTTCTCTTCTCTCTCACGTCTCATCATTGCGTCTGGCTCGTTCATCACGTCCGGCTCGGTCGCACGGAACCTTTCGCCCTTTCACACACGTCACATTATTTCGTGCCAGTCTCTCTCTCCCCTCTCATATACCAATCTGTCGTCGGTTCTTACAACAACAACAACAACAACAACAGCAGCAGCCTGTTTCTCCCTCTCACGTGTCCCACGGCAGTATTGTTCATTCCCGTTTTCGTTTCCGCTTTGTTGACCATTCCCGTTTTCCCAGCCACGCTCTTTGTCGCTTTCCTCTGCTCCCCATCCACCACACATACATACATACCTACATCACCAGTAGTTAGTCTGCTCCCTGACACGTCGGACTTTTGCATGTTCCAAAATGCGATCCAGGCGAGAGAGAAAGCGGTTGCTGCTTGCTGAGCACTCCAGGAGGGAGCGGATGCAAGTCGTTTCATGTACTGTAGTATACATGTACTCCGTGCGATGCAGTTCGAGCGTATTCCGTGAGGTTTCCTTCTCATTCATTCTGTGAGCCCCTCATCTCCGAACCTACGGCCGTTCGTTTACTGCATGGTTTCTTCGTGCTTTTTGCATCATTTACGCTCGCCGCCAAGTGCGTGTGTTTGGCGCGTGTCCATTTTATTTGCGGACTCGCGCGGTACGCATCCCTTCCCACCCCTTTGGTTTCGCACCAAACTACCGCGCACGTAAGAACAATAAAGAACAGCATCGTGTTTTCTCAATAAATGCATGCGTGTTCCAATACATTGACATACAGTAGGGGGCCTCTGATATAAGGCGGCTGAAATTGGCGCACACAACTCAGACCCGATATAAGGCGGCACCGCCTTATATAGGCAATCTCCCTGTATAAGGCGGTAACTACCCAAGTAAAATCCGATATAAGGCGGTGATCATCTTCGCATCACTACGCCCTCTCTGAAACACCTGTACCTTTGTGGCCCAAGACACCTGAAGGAGTGGTCAACACAACGCCCTGGCTTAACGGAATACAACCCTACTGTAGGCGCGCACACACTTTTTTTGTGTTCGGCCGCACGAAACCGTATTTTTTACGCGGAGGAATTCGATGCGAACGAGCGCGGACACATCACTCTTACTCTTTGCACACACGCCCTTCGTCGGCCCGGAGCATGCGCTGAGCCAACTCTCCCAACACTTCGGTTCTCTGGAAAGGGCCGCGGGGGAGTCCGGCAATCGCGAAGCCGTTTTCCGCCTTCAGAAGGCCAAAATGGCGATGATCAAAGCTCACGCGTCTAAACCCGTGCGGCAGTCGGACATGAGAGAGTTCTTGTAGGCGGATAGACGGATTATCTCAGCTGTTGTCTTTCATAGAGCAGGGTGTGCTGCAAAGAGTGGTCGCATTTTCAGAGGTACAAGCGCCGGGGCAAGTAGTGCTTAACCCGGCCAAGCGTCATCGACGCAGCGAATACAAATGTTTTTCGGTGCCACGATTGCTTTCCAACTATTGCGTGCGTCCATGTTGGCTAGCTTAAGTTTTGTTCTTCACGAAGGAAAAATATTCGGTGTCCCTCGCATCAGTACCGAAGAGAAGTATTGGTTTGGACACGTTATTCGTCTACTCTACCAGAGCCTTGTGCGGCGGTATTGTTGGATGCAGATGTACATTCTGCTGTACACTCCCAGCGGGGTCGTACGGCATCAGATGTACACGTACATACATACCGCTGCAAACAGCACTCAAACAATTGCAAGCAATCTTGCTCGTTCTACACGCGTGAATGCATGACGCGTGACCATTTCTTCCACTCAGCGACGCGCCGTGAGGTGATGCCCAATACGCTGAAACCTCCTTTCTTCATTTGTCTTAAATAAGGCGGTCACCGCCCTATTGGGCCAATCTCAGACCGTGTATAAGGCGGTTACCGCCTCATACACGTATAATGCGGCTGCCCGATATAAGGCGGTTTCCTTCACCACGCACTACACCGCCTTATATCTGGCCCCCTACTGTATTTCAAACTCGCGTTCCCGGTTCCTTGATATTTATTTGGCTATTTTTGTCCCGAACCATGGTTCAGGAATCTCCGTGGAAATCCAATTTCTATTTCAAACTCATATCTTTGAACGGGGAGGCCTTGATGTATGGCTGTTCCAAGGTTAATATTTCAAAAGATGACATGTAATCCGCAACTCCGTCCAGTGTGCGCACACCTTGCTGCCACGCATATGTACTACGCTGCAGCAGTATACAGCAGTACGTTGGAGAGAGAGGCCAACGTGGAGAGACGGGAGACTTTCATCACTGCTACGCTGCTGTCAGCGAACTATGTTGAAAGAATACGCACGCCTGTGTTGAGACTTCGTATGTGGTTGGGATGTGTTTCAAGAGAGAGGCAGAGCGACACCACGCAGCGAGATGCTATTTTCCCTCTCTCTCCGGCTGGGCAGCTGGCTGAAATATCGCATGCATGCATGATGAACAGGATGGTGAACACATCAACAGACAGCTACGGCTCGCTGCCAACACAAAGCACACACACCAGACACGCACACCCTAGCTACTCATCCCCCAGTGATTTAACCATGCACCTTTCAGAAGGAGGGCACTCTCACGGTCGATGGTTATGATGTATGCATACTTATGTCACCAACCGGAGAAGGGCCTTTGGAAGAAAAAACACACCACAGCCGATTCTTGAGCGACGACAGCAGAAGAAGATCGATGCATAACTGGATGAGAGATTCATGAAGCTATGCATACCAACATATTATACTTGCGCGTGCGCGGTGTCAAAGCTCTGGGGGTGCGGGTTGAATATTTATTCGGGAACAGATCCAGCCGGAAATTCCCGACCCATGGTTCGGGAATCTCCGCGCGGTATTTCAAACTCAAATTCCCGGGAATCCCGACAATCCAGTCAAATAATCCAGGAATCTCGAGTTTGAAATATGTCAACACATGCGTGGCTTCCTGTAAACTCTGTTGTCATGTGGTTGTTTCTTTGCACTTTGGGTCCATCCAATATCTCCATGCAGAGGGTCTTCTAAGCAAACGGTCTGACCCCCTGTCGCTTCCCTCTCCGTCTGTCAGGATCTATCTACACTGAGAGGGCTCCATTTCGGGTCTTCTCGGTCTCTCTCACAGCGCTCCATTTATTTCCTCGTTTCCATCTGTTCCTCGCTGTTGTTTTCTTGCGTTCAGCGTTTCTCTCTCATGTCTCATCATTGCGTCTGGCTCGTTCATCACGTCCGGCTCGGTCGCACGGAACCTTTCTCCCTTTCACACACGTCACATTACTTCGTGCCGCCAGTATCTCTCCCCTCTTACACAACAACAGCAGTCCCTCTCACATGTCCCACACCGCAGCAGTACGTAGAGTTTTTTTAACATGCAGATTCATATTTCCCGCCTTCATTTTTTTTTAAAGGTCCATTCCGTTTTCCCGCTATTTCTCGCTCGCTCGAGGAAAGAGCGTTTTTAGGCGCTTTCCTCTGCTCCCCATCCACCACAACAAATACATCTCATCGTTTAACTGCGCCTCTCACAGGGCTTTAGGCCAGTCTCTCTCTCTTTCGCGCAGCCAGTAGTCTGCTCTCTGACGTGCCGGACTTTCACATGATGTATTGTAAAATGTAAGTTACCTATACAGGTGCTTTTGTACTTAGCACCAGCTGGCATCACTGGTATAAATCATCAGTGTATAGACTTTAAAATACTCGAAATAAGTCCAGTACCCCGCCGGTTTTCCTCCACTCACTGAAAAGACTCCACCACATCCCGTTCGACTGTGGGTATATCTCGAATGGGTAGTCTTTCTGTGTGTGTATTAATTGTTCCTTAAATGTTTCAAAATACACGCGTTCGTTTCTCTGGGATCTCGCATGTACGCGCCGAACATGCATGTCTAGAATTTCATCTCTCTCCGGGATCTTTTCAGGGCTGGCTTCGTTTTTCTCCGTTTCTCGCATGCATGCAAACAACCCTAATCAAATCGCGATTTGGTTTTGGGTCGTCCTGTTTTAAGTCCTATAGATTCGACGGGTTCCATTACTTTTCAGCCAATCAACAAGAGAGTTCTTCGGATCTTCCGGTCTTATATTGTAACCAAATCTGAATGTGATTTCGTGATCTGATTTCTTCGTAAACCTACCCTAATAGCATACATGTACATATACATGTAGATGTACATATATGTAGTTCTCTACTGGGTCAACGACCAAAATATCGGGGAGAAACCCTCGGTCATGTAGTGTGTTATAAAATACAAGAGGTACATACCTGCGGAGGAAGGGCCTGAACGAGGGGGAGGGATGCAGCATGCGCCAGGATCCCCTTCCCTTCCTGCCCCCCTCCACCCCTCGCCACGCGGTGGACCTTGGCTATGAGTGCCCTCCTCCTGCTGCTACGGCGGTGCCCTCCCGACATGAATGTCGCCCCACCGGGGATTGCGTCCACAGCCCGAGCTGCTGGCGCAGGGTGTGATGTCATAACCGGGGCGGGTGTCAAAGCCACGCGCAGCAGACATCTAGCCGGACAAACCAGAAGTGCGAACGCGCCCACGATGACACGCATGGTGTCGCTGCTGTCACACACAGCCTCTCTCAGTGTCTCTCAGTAACGACGCCAAGCCCTCTGCCTGCTGCAACCTGCTGCAAGCCTGCTGACTGCTGACTGCCCCTCATGATTTTTCCGCCCGTTTGAATAACGCCTCCCCGATGTCGTGGCACTCCCTCGACAGCAGCCACAGCGCCACAGCCGGACAGCAGGGCAGCAGTCCGCAGCCCGCCCGTCCTCTGTGTTGCTAAGGTGAGCGGGAAGGTCGTTTGTGTTCAAGGTCGGTACACAGGGGTGTTGGGCAAGAGTGCTGCCTTTTTTTCCTGAAAACTAGACGTGAACGAGGCGTAATGTGTACGGTTAACGGGGATCATGCTTAACGCATGGTGCATGCTTGTGACCCGTATGTACCACCCCAGACAGCCAGCATGCACTGCAGCACTAGCAAGCTAGCGGTAGGCTACGCAGCAGCAGAGAACAACATGTTGCTCGAGAATGATGGTGAAGTGGCATCGCCTGCCGTTGTTGCTGGCGTGCTCAGCTGCGAACGAATCCTGAGACAAGTTGCGGTTGCCGTTGAACGGCTGTTCCTGAGCGACTCGTAAGCATTTTTAGCGGTACTGCTGTATGCATGCATCCTGTCAAGCCGTGCTGCAGCAGCACAGCACCAGCACTGTGCACGCGTGTATATGCGGGCCATAGGCCACCAGCCCCTTTCGAAATCCATGGCATCTCTGTCGTGAAGGTACACAAACACACATAACCCAACCAAATTGAGGTTGGTTGTTGATGTTGTCATGTTCATGCCACGCGATGGCCATCTTTTATTGTCTTACTGGATGGTTTGCTCCGCCGCGCGTGTGGTCGGTCTTGTTCAACTCGCAAGCACGTCCAATTCGCTGGCTGTGTCTGATGCTCCAGCTGTGTGTCTACTTTGGCGTGTACTTGCACGCTAGTCGGCCGTATGCGGTATACTGCTGTATGTACCTTCTACTTTAGACTAACCATCCGTTTCACCTCACCACCGCCTCCCTGTTAAAAAACAACCAAACCCGCCGCACTCCGAAAGGCAGAGACTAAAAGGAATAGAATAGAGCCTGGCATTGCACTGCATTGCATTGCAAGCTGCCCTTGCTACACAGGCGGGATCTACAGCAGTACCGCAAAGCACTACTGCTGTGTTACCCCACGCCGGGAGGGGATACAGGAGACAGATGCAGTTCGTTCTCGGCAAGGGCACGGGGGCAGCGTCCGCCTGCCTTGCCCTCGCCTACGCATGCCTCTCCGCAAGACGGGCTGATGCCTTCGGGCTCGGCCTCAGGCCCATCCCCTCGGCCGCGTCATCGTTCAACCCGGGGGGCACGCTGCCACACACGGTCGACGTCGGAAGCAGTGGCGGGGGGGGCCGTGGAATGAGCATGTACTCGGCGTTCAAGAAGGGGGGGGGCAAGGGCAAGAAGAAGAAGGGAGGCGGGGGGAAGAAGAGTGCCGGGGGTAGGGGGGGCGGCGGCAAGGGCGCGGGGAGGGGAGGGGGGAGGGGTGATGGCGGCCCTCCTTCGCCGACCGTCGATACATCCCGGAAGGTTAGTGTGTGTGTTTTTTTTTTTTTTTGCGTTTTGCCAAGGAGGCGGTAGGGACGAAAATGCTGTGTCTGTTGCGTGCTGTGTTGCTTACGGCGTGCCGCGCTCATGGATTGAGAGTGTTGATATGTTTGATCAATCAGGGTTGGAGTGTTCCCAAGTATGTGTAGACGAGGTATTGTCTGCCGTAATGTGTGCCAGACACAGCGTACGTTCTCTCTCGTACATCATCGTTTGTGCTGCTTTTCATCCGGTCCTTTGTTTTGGCTGCGCACTTACGACACGTAGCCCCATCATGACCATGGCCGGCACACGCAAGCACAGAAACAAGAACCGCAATGGTTGTTGCGCCTACTGTAGGCCTCCTGGAACCCTCTCCCCCCTTCCCTCCTCTACCCCCAGCACGGCAAGCACTATTATAGTACCTATGCATACCACGATACGAAAGGACAAGCCTACTCACGCCTCACGCACACAAGACAAAACAGCCACTGCTATTGTATTGTACTTGTGTCGCACAACCCAAACTAAAAGCCGCGTTTGCCTGGCTGTGCTCCCGATGCCGCCTCCCGCCAACCGCGAATGCCCAGGACTTCGTGTACCAAATGAACCGACTATCCAAGTCTTTCGGCAAGGGGACCAGCATCCGTCCGGTGCTCAAGGACGTGAGCCTTTCCTTCTACCCAGGGGCGAAGATCGGAGTGCTGGGCTCCAACGGCTCCGGAAAGTCTACCCTGATGAAGGTGCCCTGTTCTAAGGATGTGGCGCCCACACCGCTCTTTTTGATATTCCCTACAGGGACACGCGCCAGGATGATCATATTTGCATCCGAATGACCCTTCCTTGTGTTTTTCGAACAGGGTGGTATGCCTAACAATCGCCAAAAGGCTGCGCGTTGGAGGTAATACCCCGTTGTGCAGTGATGTCATTGATGTGAAGGCAGAGACTGCGGCAAGGTGGTGCGGATTGCTGGGATGAGGGAGTGCCAATAAAAACTCTTGTCTTATTTCTTGTTCGTCCTTTGGAGGGCTCACACTTCGATGGCTTTTTTTTCGGTCCATCAATACAATCAATTGCTTGTGTCGGCGGGCACTTCGCACCATCGCATGGTGCTCGGTCATGTCTTGCTTCTTGGACAATACGTTGTGTCAGTAACCACAGCTGCGATAGCAGCGATAGCAGCGATAGCCGTGCTTGTCGTCCTCCGCCATTGAGCACTTCACTATCCGTGTGGTACAGTGTGCATACGAAATCTCTTCCACCTTGGATTCTTGATCCTCCTTGTTCCTGTGTTCCGTTGGAATGGCGAGTGTCGTCAGGGCTAGCCTAAAGAGCCTAGCAGCTGATCTGTTGCTTGAATCAGTAGAAATGCCACCTGTGCTGGCCAAGTTGCGTGCATGTGTGGAGATCAAACATGTTCAGCTTCTTGTGCATGCGGAGACTGAAGCTTACCCGGCTTGGCTTCCGTTTCTCGTTTCGCTTTCTGCCCGTCTACGCGCATCGCGCCAAGACGCCAGCCAACCCTCGTTTGCTTTCAAGTTATCCATCGCGATTGTTCCCGATGATCGCGAGGCGGCCTCACGACGCATCGCCCACATGTAAATGAAACACACCCGGTCAGCCTTTTTTTGTCCACGCCCTTGGCCTGGTTTCAAAATTATCAAAATTGTCTGCGGACCACCCATGCATCAGACTATTTTCCAGACACACGGGTTGGTTAACACAAGACGGATCTGCGGAACCCCTCTGTTTATTGTTCGGTTTCGTGGTCGTTTCTCCTTTTCTCTTTAGTCTGACGCCGGCTGCTTGCCACGAGACGAGACAAACTCGCTTGTTCGCCACATCCGCGCTGCCGCGAGAGCCATGACCTCTATCGACAACCTTGGCCTTGACCTTGACCTTGACCTTGGCGTTGCCTTCCCCGTCGCCACCTTGACCCTAACTCAGATCATGGCCGGGGTGGACACGGAGTTTCAGGGGGAATCTCGCCTTTCGGACTGGGCGAAGGTGGGCTACCTGGAGCAGGAGCCTAAGCTGGATGACGGGGACACGGTGTCGTCGAACATCGAGGCCGCCGTCGTGCCCACCCGCACCCTGCTGAAGGAGTACGAACAGGTATGTATTGTAGGTGCAAGTGTGACCTCAGCCGTCGAGGACGCTTGGAATGCCGCAGTTTGTGACGGATATGTGGCAGGCTAGATGAGACATACCAACGGCTGTACAGGCAGATACATATATGTGGAACACGGGGGTAGGTAGATGATGTTGACACGGTCCATGCGTCTCTTCAGAGCAATGACAATGAGGCATGGCGTAAGTCTCATTTCATTTCAGGTTTGAGGGTGCACGACGCGCGAACGACCGCCGGGATGAAAACTAATGTGCTCTTGGGGGTAGCCCCGGGTGACGCGGAATACCTTATCGCTCAACACGGGTCTGCTGCCAGGAATGGTGTGCTTGATGAGTGATAGTAGTGCATACATGGGGTATGCATGACACGGAGTATGCATACATGGTGAAATCATGGAACGTGTCGTCATCAGACCCTTCGAAAGAAGCCTCTCAGAATTTTCTCATCATCGTTTTGCTGGATCGATAACTCGGCCGGCATCAGCAAAACGTACCTCCAACATTCTCTAGAGTCCGGACACGTAGCGGAACGGTACACGCGCTTCCTATTTTCTGTACCCTTACCTTTTTGTTTATGTCTCCCCTTGAAGATGATCCTCGCGTACCCTGTGTTCCCAATGCAATACCCTCCGTCGCCCCCCCCCGCCGTTGTTTGCCCGCATGACGTATTCTTCGAGAGAAGGTGTCCGCTGAAATGTCGAGCGAGGGGGCTGACATGGACAAGCTTTCGAAGGAGATGGACCGTCTTCAGAACGCCATCGAGGCGGCGAACGGCTGGGAGCTGGACCGCGTGCTGGAGAGAGCGATGGACGCCTTGAGGTGCCCCGATGGAGACGCCCTCGTGGACAACCTGTCAGGTGATGTGTGGTGTGATTCCGGTGTTGGAGCTTCGGTAGGGTGGGACTCGTCGTCACGATAAGTACGTAAACCTGAACCTTACCCTTTGAGCGACTTTGAAAGATCGATTTCTCCATAACCATGACACAAGAGGCCCGAAGCCCGACCGACATGTCGAAGGAAATCTCTCTCTCTCTCTCTCTCTCTCTCTCTCTCTCTCTTTGTCTCTCTTCGTCTCTCTCTCTCTCTCTCTCTCTCTCTCTCTCTCTCTCTCTCTCTCTCTCGACGAGATATTTTCACTACTACCATCCTTTCTGGCATTGGTACCTCTCAAGATTGTGGAGCGATCGGGCTTTGCCAACTGGTCAAGAGAGATGCGTTCTTTGCGAGCTTGCTTTACGGGAAGGATACACCGACTGATTAATTTTTACAAGCCAAATGGTTGACATGTCAATTTATTACAATAGTTGGTTGGTTGGTTGATCAGGAGGAGAGAGGAGGCGTGTGGCTCTGTGCAAGCTGCTGCTGAGGCGTCCCGACCTGCTGTTGCTGGACGAGCCTACTAACCACCTGGATGCAGAGAGTGTGGCGTGGATGGAGGACTTCTTGAAGTCGTTCGGAGGCACCGTGGTGGCAATCACGCACGACAGGTACAGATTAATTGTATGTGTGCTAGCGTGATAGCGCTGTCGTCCCGGACGTCACGTTCCATCCTATGATCCAGATTGTTGCGAAGCATAACTCATCTGCGCACCAGACGGCGTCCCAGTATGCCAGAGCTTGGTCAAGACGACTCGTGGTGGAAGCCTCCCCTCATCCTCACGTGTATCGCCAAGTTTCATGTGTATCGAACACAGCGAAGCGTGTCGAGGAACTTGCCGAAGCTACTTGTATTTCTCCGATGGGGATCGTCGAAAACTGCTTCTGTCGCTCTGAACGAAGCCATCGCACGATTCTACGGTATGTCTATCTTGCTTGAGTGGTCGAAGTGGTTTCGATGTCTGCTACGAACCCACCGAATCGGCTTCTATTCCTCCTCCGCGCGAAGGTACTTCTTGGACAACGTGGCCGAGTACATCCTCGAGCTGGACCGTGGGGAGGGCTTCCCTTTCAAGGGCAACTACAGCGGATTCCTGGAGAAGAAAATGGCCAGGCTTGAGCTGGACGCCAAGATCGATAATAAGAGGAAGGCGTCTATCAAGAAGGAGCTAGAGGTGAGTGAGACTTGTTTGGGCTGGGGGGGGGGGGGTGCTGAGGTGCATTTTGGACAGGAAGCCTGTTTTGGACTCGTGTGCGTGTAGACGCATCGTGTGTGAGGTTATGTCTTCATTTGAACCGTATGAGAAGAAGGGAGCTTCTTTCTTCAAGAGAGAGAGAGAGAGAGAGAGAGAGAGCGGTAAAAGTCAAGACCCGTATGTGCGATTGCGCTGATCCCAGCTCTAGGTACCAACCACTTGGCAACTTGTAAAGTTGTTCTGCTTGATGGACGATGTCATTGCTCGTTTTGTTCGTCGCAGCTCGAGCTCCCTCTGTAGTAGCCGCTTCCGCCGTCCCGAAGCCACCAGCATACGAATGCGTAGGGTACCCCCACCCCCGAAGACTGCACTATCCGCGTGGACTCGAGGCAGCAGTCTACGCGCTGACCCCTCACACGAAATGGCTGTGTTGAGTACCTACCGTATCATTCATATTGGGGATAACAGCAGTGGGGGGCGTAAAAGGACAACGTTTTCGTTTCGCGTACAACTACTGTATGCATACGGCTTCGTCATTATCGCCCAGCGTGCGTGTATCTGACACCCTGACACCCCCCCCAAACACTACCCCCCCCTCCCCCGTGTTTTAAACCCTCCCACGGGACCCCTGCACCACCTCGGGCTCTTGTTTCCATGCATACAATAATAGTGGGTGAGGACGAACCCGAAGGCTCGACAGGCCAAGTCCAAGGCTCGTCTAGCACGCTACGACAGCCTCAGCCAGGCGGACGAGGCTGCTGACGCCGCCGCGAGAGCATCGTTAGAGAGCATCTTCATCCCCCCCGGCAACCCTCTCGGTACCATCGTCGTCGAAGCGGAGGTATTTTGATACAATAGGTGATATGCAGTACCAATACCTTGTTGTCGCATGAATACAACACGACCCCCTCCAGGACCGATTTTCAAAACCTGGACTGGCCTAATTCCTCTACCACGAACAAAGACGATGCCAAAACGGTCGAAACCAAATGAGTAGTAAGTTCTTCCGCACAGCATGTGGTTGACTTTGTTGCTCCGGCATGATGAGCTGTTATCTTGTGGAACCTCCGGTAATGTGGAAGCGGAGTATCAGTGGCAACTAGTACGGAGCACGGGTTACTCTGGATTCATGTTGTGTGAATGTTTTCTGCGTGTCTCTTTTGAGAAGAATTGCTGCGTATCTTGCCCACTCAAGCGAGTGGCGCGCTTGGTGCCGCCACAAATAGCATTCGTCGGGAACCGGAGAAACTATTTCATTGCATGTTTTTCCGCTCCTGCCGATGTTGGTTCCATCTGTGCACACTCTTATATCTATCTGTCGCTCTTTGTCTTTTCTGTGACTGTATTAAGTCTTTATTTATTTGTTTTTCTGTTTAATCGTTTACTGTTTATTCTAGTTTTTGTTTGTTTTTTGGCTTGTTTGTTTGTTTGGACAGGACCTCGGCAAGGCGAAGGGAAAACGTCTTCTCTACGATGGGGTTAACTTCTGCCTTCCCAGGGGGGGTGTCGTAGGGATCATCGGTGCTAACGGAGTCGGGAAGGTGAAGTCACGCATTCACAGTAACGTAAAATAGTACCGGTCGCTGCCTATGGCCGCATACATGCATTGTCCCAAGAGGGATTGGCCAGTCTGTGTAACCTGGCACCATTCGAAGATTTTGAGATGAACCATATCCTGAGAATCTGCCGCATGTCTCACGGGATTAGGTTATGTACCTTACCACGCGGGTTTTTCTAGCACCCCGCGGTATAGTATACTCTGGGGCGCCCCACCTCCTGACACCTGACACCCTTCATGACCTTCCTTCCGTCGCCATCCCTAACACTAACACTAACACTAACACCACCGATGTGCGACAAGCCCCTCGCGCCGACGCCCAGCCTCGAGCGCGAAGATGAGTCCAGCCTCTTCCTCGGGGGCGTTGCATCGCCTGTGTCAAGAGTAAGCAAACGCCTCCTTGCTTGTGCTTTTTTAGCATGTTTCTCGTGTAACGTCGTTTTCCTTCGTCGCGGCTGCTCGCACCCGTTCCCGACAACAACAATAAACAGTCGACGTTGCTCAACATGATCGCCGGTCTGGACACCCCGGACATGGGAAAGCTAGTGGTGGGCGAGACCGTGGACGTGATGTACGTCGACCAGAACAGGGAGGGTCTAGACGACCCCGAATTGTCGGTGTTCGACGCCGTGACGGACGGGGCTGATGAAATTACGCTGGGGCCCCGCACAATCAACAGGCAAGACGATGGGTTTCAATCGTTAGAGTTAAGGTTGTTGTTGTTGTTGTTGTTGTTGTTGTTGTTGTTGTTGTTGTTGTTGTTGTTGTTGTTGTTGTTGTTGTTATTTTTTTTGTCGCTGCTGGGAAGAAACTATTTAATGCTCGTGTGCAATGGTGTTCTGTCTGTGTCCATCCGTTCGTTCCCTTGGGTCTATTGCGTGCGCAGTCGCGCCTACCTGTCTTGGTTCAACTTCAAGGGAGGGGACCAGCAGAAGAAGGTTAACCTGCTGTCTGGGGGAGAGCGGAACCGCCTCAACCTGGCTAGGACGCTCAAGCAGGCGAGCAGTAACGCTAGTACACCCCGGACACATTGATGAAAGATGGTAGCGCACAGGCTTGAACTGAACTACTGCGGGTCTACACGAAGGATGGTCGCCTATGGTAAAAAAACGAAGGGCTGTGTCCCTCTGTCCCACTCTTCAAGTTAAGGTATCCCCGCGGAATTGAGGAAGGAGTAGGTGTGGCTTGAAAGGTTAAGGTGAGGTCACACGCATGTGTTATCGATCGGTACAGGAAGTACAGCAAGTAGAGGAAGTCGTGCCGTGGCTACGGCGAAGACGACGGCGTCGCAAACGCAACGACTCGAAGGAAGGAAGGACGGACGGAAGGAAGCACGTACCTTGATACTTCACTGTTCCCGGTGCCAGGCTTTTCGTTGTCCTCCTCTCCTCTTTCTCCTGTCCCCGCTCTTGATCTATGTTCCACGCTTGACCTGACCCACTCCACACCGCCACCGCTGCTGTTGCACGTATGTGCATCCAAAATATTTTCATAGAGTAGACCAGCTTCCACTCCACTCTCACTCCTTCTTACTCCTTAGCTATACTAAGACCCCCCCCCTCGGACTACAGAACAGTGTGGTTCTTTGACCACGGGGATAAAGGCAGCATTTTTTATGTGGCGCTCTTTTTCAACCCGCGCCTAAATGCAGGAAAACGTTGCCGTTGGAATAGGCGGAGAGCTCCACGATTCGCGGAATCCGGTTGCATGTGCCGTCTTGCCCTGTACAACGTTGTTGCAACGTGTTATTTATAGCTAGGGCTCACGATGTCAACGTCTGTTCGGCTTGTGCGCTCAGCGGAAACAACTCTCGATGGCAGCTACAGCAGTAGTAGTTGAGACAACATTGCAGCTCTCATTTTTTTGTTTCTCGCCGGCGCAGGGAGGGAACCTGCTTTTGCTCGACGAGCCGACCAACGACTTGGACGTGGACACACTAAGGGCGCTGGAAGACGCCATCGATGCTTACCCGGGGTGCGCGGTGATCGTGAGCCACGACAGGTACTTCCTGGACAAGGTCGCGACGCACACGCTCGCCTTCGAGGACGACGGGGGCGTGGTGAGTGCTAATAAAGACACCGGCATGGTTCCACGATCTGCTGCTGCTGTTGTTGTTGTTGTTGTTGTTGTTGTTGTTGCCAGGACGTGGTCGTGATGCCGCTGCCGCTGTATCGTGCTCCACGCTGTACGTAATTTAGCGGTACAGGAGCACGCCTGACCGTACCAACTCGTGATATCATCGTGACGTCATCGTGATGTCATCTGCGTTGTTGTTGACTTGTAAGCGTCTTGTGGGTGCAAGGCATGGGCACGTATGTATGTACATTGAAACTGCCAGTCGTTAAGTGTTGAGTGATGCAGGTGTCGTCCATCGTTGTTGTGATAGTGGTGTGAAAAACGGTCTAATTTTGACCAACATATACGTATATGTACGGTGTTGCCTTGATACGGGGACTTGCTTCAATTGAGCTGAGCGTGTGTTGAATGTCACCCGAACACGAAGACTCCTGTTCGATGTAGACTGTTGTAGCTGACCATCAGTGCCGTGTCGCTGACACATGTATCACATGCATCTCCGCTGCTCCTTCGATAGGCCCCGAACGACAGTGAGTGCCTGGTTGTTGGTGCTGTTCTAGGCTTGGCTAGACTAACATCTGGTTGCCCCGTCCCTCATTGTCAGGTGTGGTTCGAAGGCAGCTTCGCCGAGTATGAGCAGGACCTCCGGAGACGGGCAGGGGGCAACGAGCCCAAGAGACCCAAGTTCAGGCCGCTTCCGGCCGTCTGAGGCGCTCGTTGATCATATCATACCTTACGATCATATTCGTATTCCACCTAGTAAAAGAGCAACGCCCCTTCTTGTCGTTGTGAAATCATTTTTATTTTTTGCCGTCGGTGGTCGGTTACAATAGAGGGGCGGTGGCGGAGAAGACGGCCCTTAACCTTGGAGGGAGAAAGCTATGTAGGCGACGCTAGAAGAGCAAATGTTTTTTGCGTGCCGGTTGTGATACTGTGCTCGCGTGATGGAAGTCTTAGTTTTTCGCCCTTGGTGAAAGAGTGGAGAGTTGAAGGAGTTCCTTCATTACACCGAAACAAGAGCTTTGAGCGGGTGGGGGCATGGCAATCCTCAGAGTCCTAACCCTAATGGCGACCTCAATACTTGTAGAACGTCGAACGATCTATTGTAGCAGTAACTACAACGTCGTGACTGCTGTGCTCCCTTTTGAAAGTGAAGTCCGTGGACGCTGGTCAGGATGACTGGCTGACTGTGGTGGGCTCACGCCAGCTGAGCGACGAACCCTGCGTGAAAACCTAAGATTACTGCGTCTCGGGTACTTTCGATCGGGCTGGTCGATATGATTCATCCTATCTAGCTAGTCGATTGACATTTTTTCGAGTCAATCGATGCCCACCTCATGCGAAAAACAACCAACCTTCCTTTTTATTTATTTCAAGAGCGTTCCTTTTCGAGTGGTTTTGCACGTTCCACCAGTAGATCAGGTTGACATCTCTTTCACTCAACATGTTGATCGAAATTTATTTCGAGAATCTCGTTCTTGAGTGCACTTCCATCCAAGAGAATTACTTCGAACCCTCGCCCATGGCCATGTGCTGGCTATAGACTCCCTAGTTAATTAACTACGTGTATAGTCTAGGTTCGTAGCATACAGCATACGTCTGTTGAGAAAGTTTCGAGGGGTATGGAGGTTTTAGGTACAAAGTGACTTCTATATTTTGTAGTGTGCTCTCGTATACTTGTACCGAAGAACGATACAGAGGCAATGATAACTGCTCCCACACGAAGACGTTGGTTCATTTCAGTTAGCTAGCGCGGCCGATGCTATTTGATCGAGTAAACTCACAACAAGCCCACTACGTACCGTACACGACGAACGTTCCTCCTGTCAAGCTGCCGAAGCAGGACTCACAGCTTTATTTACCCGCCAGCTAAATAATACATCGTAATTGTATGCTACAGCAGTAGCAACTTGGATACAACCGCATGTTCGTAGAGTATGAGCAGTATAGGAGCAGCGCCATATACACTCAGGCAAGCGCTTCGCCGCCGGTCAGCGAGATGCCAGCGCAGTAAGGGTACACGCCGAGGGGGTTCGCTCCATCGCCATCATGGTCTCTTCTCCTCCACGTCATCCTCCTTCGCGCAGCACAGCAGTGCAGCGGGAACGTCGGTTGTCGGTTGTGCACCCCGCTGTAAAGAGTCATGGATCGTCGGCCATTTATTTTCGAGAGGACCCTTGGAGGACCCCGGGTACACCTTGCTCTTGCGTGTTGTTCACGTATAAACGTGACTCATGTGATGGTATGATATTCTATTTGGTTGTAACCACGTAGGATAGGATAGATACATGGCCAGAGAGGATGACCGCTGCAACCGCCCTCCCCCAGGCTCAAGGAAAATGATGGGATGGATTGCACTCTGTAACCAACGGACACATCATGACCAACAGCTACAGCGAGCGAAAGAGCCAGACAGCCAGCAAAGCTACAGAGTACCCCATCTGCGCCCCCCCCCCCCCCCCCCATCGGGCTTTGCGATTTGGTTTCGAGAGGCGGACCGGCGCAAGCAAAGCAGCATAGAGGGAGCAGCACCAAGGGTATGGAAAGTGCAGCCAGAGAGCTAGAGGGAAACTAGACAGCGTCTTGGCGTACCCTCTGACGGAATCCGTGCGAGGCGACTCAGACCTGTCGGCGCGGCTATCGATCAAGCTGGTATATATATATCTTTGGCACTGACCCCGGCAAGGCAAGCTGCTCGCTGTGTGTGGTGTTTTTGTTCAACACGTCGTCGGTGGCGCATCAAAGAGATAGCTGTGTAGATCGAGCACAGCGTTGCCCAAGGGAGACGGATGGGCAATCTCAACAGCAGCTTTTCCGGCGAAAAGGAGGAGCAGGAGCATGGAAGGACGAGGGCGGAACGGTGGGCTCTCGCCAAGAAGTGTGTTGCGCTTCTGCAGGCAAGTGTGTGCTGGTCTGTTCTTTTGGCGACTTATTTTTTCAACCGTGCTGTTTGCGTGGTATACGTTTATTTTTGTTTCATCAGAGAGAGAGAGAGAGAGAGGAGAAGCGTGTCACAGCAGGTGTGCGCGGTTGCACGCCAAACGCTAGCCAACAGGTGTTGCTCACCCCATAGACAGCAGAACAGCCGCGGAGGAACACGCCACAGTAGCCCGCGGCGACCGCTCAGCCGAGCTGCGGACGAATTCGTTTGTGGCAGGCACGGCGGCGGACACCAAGGCCGGCACGCGAGAGCGAAAGAGAGATTATGTAGATCATTTGCTCGGCCGGAAATCTCGAACATTTGCACGAAAAAATCAAGAAGTGGAGAGGGAGAGGCGCGGGACACGCACGCTGGTGTGCCATGAACGAATGCCATTCCATTGACGGCATTCCACGCCGCCCGTCTCCTTTTGCTGGAGACAAGGAAAGCGCCGAACTGAACCGGAGTGAGTTTCAGTCTCATGCAACCCGACGGTCGCTATGGTCCACCTGGCATGTATCAATGCCAATGACTTCCCGCCGACGGCTGCGGTTCTTCCGGCCGCATATGTACATACAAATACACAGTCAAAGTGTGCGACAAACAACATTTGTATGAACTGCTGTATAGCCTGGCGATACGGTAAGAGCTGTACCATACCATGGTACACCAGTGGGGTAATTCCTTCTTTTTAGTGCTGTGCGCGCCTTCGTCCCATCCATGTGACCAGACCCTCGTTTTTGGAGTCTTCCCGCCCCCCCCCCCCCCCCCCCCCCCCCCCCCCCCCCCCCCAA